GATGTGCTCCAAGTCCCCTCTATTAAAAGTCATCGTGTAGTTATGAGGAAGCAGGAATAGGTGGAATTCAGCAGGTTCTGACCAATTCTGGAGAACCGGTAGTGGAAATTTTGAGGAGAACTGGCGAATACAACCTCTAACTGGCCCCGCCCCCCACCTATTCTCTGCCTCCCACTGAGTCCCAGCTGATCAGCTGGGTCTTCTTTGGTTGCTGCACAGGAGAACGGAGCTGGAAAGCAGGTTAGTGGGGTAGGGAGGGAATGGGATTTTGCAGCAACCTTCCCCTGCCACGCCCTCCAAGCCACGCCACGCCCACAGAACCGGTAATACAATTTTTTGAATCCCAACACTGGAAGCAGGCCTTTTCTTGAGTGGCCCCCACCCTATGGAATAGCACCCTCACCCCAAAGAGATATGAACTGCAGCTTCTCTCCGGGGCGTCTGGAAAGCCCTTAAAACCCAACTTTGGTCTGGAGTTAATATTTACAGCAGTCCTAAACTTACAACAGCTCATTTAGTGACTGTTCTAAGTTACAATGGGGCTGGAAAAAGTGACTTATGACCATTTTTCACATGACCATTGCAGCATCCCCATGGTCACGTGATCAAAATTTGGATGCTTTGGCAACTCATATTTATGACGGTTGTAGCGTTCCAAGATTATGTTTTACGACCTTCTGACAAGCCAAGTCAACGGGAAAGCCAGATTCACATTAACAACCCTGTTACTAATTTAACAGCCGCAGGGATTTACTTAACAACAGTGGCAAGAAAGGTCGTAAAATGGGTCATAAAACTCACTTAACAAATGTCTCACTTAACAACAGAAATTTTGGGCTCCATTGTGGTTGTACGTCAAGGGCTATCTATATTTGTAAAATTATGAGCTGCCCATCTTGCCGCATGGTAACTCTGGGCAGGCTTTCGATAAATTAGAATATATTTTGCAAAGCCCTACTATGGTTTCTTATTGCCCTTATGATCACTTTATTCTGGGCAGTCTGTGAGGTTTTATGTTTTAAATTGTTTTCACTGTTTGCATGTTTTGTATGCTGCCCGGAGTCCATCAGAGTTGGGTGGCTATAACCCATTTAAATAATCACTGAGTCATGAGTCTGAATTGTGCCCTGAAACCATTTAGGGAAGCTAATGCAGATGAGGGGAAAGTTAATGGGATTACCAACCCAGTCTTACTGGCTGAAAATTGGCAACAGCTGAAGTTTCCAGCGTTGCTTTCCAGATCAAACAAAGCGATTACGGCGATCCAATCAAATGCAGTGGCTTAATTATCTGCTTAGTATCTGAACAGAGTGGATAGAATCCTTGCAACTCATTTCCACATAACAGGTAATCCTTGATTTACAACAGCTCACTTAGTGACCGTTTGAAGTTATGATGGTCTCCTCCCCGATGAATTTATGACCTGATTCTTAAATTTTAATGGCTGCCCTGCCCCATGGTCACATGACCACATCTATGGCTGTTTACAGCATTCTGTAGACATGTCAACTCAATCTATGATGTTTTTGCCAAAAACCAGCATTTACTTCAGAGGTGGGATTCAAAATGTTTTACTACTGGTTCTGTGGGTGTGGTTTGTTGGGCATGGCAGGGGAAGGATAGTGTAAAATCTCCATTCCCACCCCACTCCTGGGGGAAGGTTACCACCGGTTCTCCGAAATATTCAACATTTCTGCTATCGGTTCTCTAGAACTGGTCAGAACCTGCTGAATACCACCTCTGATTTACTTCCAATGTTTGGCAAAAAATATCCCTAGGCAAACAATGGGTTTGCTAACAACTGCAGCATTTGCTTAGGATTACTTCAAACAAACAAAAAATCGCTCCAAAGATTGGATTACAGATTGATGATCTGTTTCATGGATAGTCATGACTTACAACAGTAACTGGTAGGCTGCATTATGGTCGTTTAAGTCAAAGATTACAGGAACGGAGGTTGAAATATGAGTGATTTCTCTGCTGTGCAGGAATTATGCCCAGCCTTGCTTTTTAGAAGTTTTTTGTCTTAGTCAAAGGCATGCAAACTTTAAAGGAACTAGTAGGAAGTGGGGAATAGAGAACCAATGGCCTATCAACTGTTACTCTATTCTACTCTCACCATAGATATCACTATCCTCAAAAAGACGCTGTAGAACACTGCACCCCAGAACGAGACACAAGAACAGTTTTTGCCGAACGCCATCACTCTGCTAAGCAAATAATTCCCTCAACACTGTCAAACTATTTAGTAAGTCTGCATTACAATTACTATTAATCCTCCCATCTCCTCCCACTTATGACTATCACTGTAACCTTGTTGTTTGTATCCTAACGATTTATATTGACTGTTTCCTAGTATGATTTCATTGCTTATTGTACCCTATGACTATTATTAAGTGTTGTACCTTATGATTCTTGACTCTTGACTAATGTATCTTTTCTTTTATATACACTGAGAGCATTTGCAACAAGACAATTTCCTTATGTGTCTAATCACACTTGGCCAATAAAGAATTCTATTCTATTTTGCTATCTTTCATGGCTGATTTTTGTCATATAAAGAAATGCTCTAGACCAGTGGTGTCAAAGTTGATTTCATCGAGGGACGCATCAGGGTTGTGTTTGACCTCAGGGGGCCGAGTGGGCGTGGCCAAGGTGGGCGTGACCAGCTTGACATCACTCGTGTCGGGGGGGCGCCTGTGGCCCAAGCGCTCTGCCAGAGAAAACGGGCTCCCGAACTCCGTTTTCAGCTGGGATGGCCTCCTGCATCTCCCTGACAGCAAAAATGGAGTTTGGGAGGGCCGCATTTTCACTGGCAGAGGCACCCCAGGCCGGTCCTTCGCTATTTCCAGGGAGGCTCCATGGGCCAGATCTAAGCACCCCATGGGCCAGATCTTGCTCAGGCCTTCAGTTTGACACCCAGGACAACTCCTTAGCAAGGTTGACTTTTTCCCCAACCAGCTACAGGTCGTCCTAGACTTACAACCATTGTGGAGGCCAAAATTTATCTTGCTAAGCAAGACACTAAAATGTTATGTGAGTTGTGCTCCATTTTATCTTTTTGCCAGTTGTTAAGCTAATCATTGTTTGTTAAGTGAGTCGTGGAATCGTTAAGCGAATCTGGCTTCCCTCACTGACTTTGCTTGTCAAAAGCCGGCTACTAAGGTTACAAATGATGATCAAATGACCCCGGGGACAGGGCAACAGTCACAAATACATGCCAGTTGCCAAGTGCCCAAATTTTGATCATGTGATTGTGGAGATGCTGCAATGGTCTTAAGTATGAAAACCGGTCAGTCACTTTTTACAGTGCTGTCGTAACTATGAACAGTCACTAAATGAATACTACAACTCTTTTCAAGCAGCTCTCCTAACCGTTGCAACGGCAGCCAAGAGGTATAACTAGCAGCTGGTACACTCACTTTTTTCTCACATTAACTGAACGGGAAGAAGCATTTCTTGGAATTTCCTATTAAATTCTAAACCTAAAACCTGACAAAACTATAGTTGAAGCCAAGGAACTCTGGGATTTCAGATGCTCCTGCCAATCCACTGACAGTTTTAAAATAGGTTATTTAACATGAAAAGCTAATACTCCCAGATTGCCATGATCTAGTTTAGGAAAAGACTCAGGGAAAAAAAAAAAAAAACTGGATGATCTTAGTGCAGGGAAAAAAGAAGGCAAAATAAAACAAAAGCAACCTGCAAACATCCAGTCTTTTCCAAGGATGAAATTATAGCAAAAGTTGATTAATTCCCACCCTTCCTCCAGGGAGTTGAGAGCCATTTTGAAGGAAGGCTGAGTCCCAGGCTGGCTCTGGGATTCTTGTCCGAACCTCTGGAGCCACCGGAACAATGATTTTGCATACAGGTAGTCCTCAAATTACAACCACAATTGAGCAGGGGTGGGATGCTACCGGTTCTGCCTGGCTCTATAGAACCGGTAGCTCTGAAAAGCAGCAAACACCGAACCGGTTCTGTTTGCTGCTGTTTGGCCCACCCGCCCGCCTGGGCTCTTACCTGTCCTTTATTTCCTGCTTTTTCAACCTCAGCTGCTTTGCGCGGCACAGCTGAGGTTGAAAAAACAGGAAAAAAGAGGCTTTTGAAATGCTGCGCAACTGCGCGCAACACTTATCAGCTGTCCGGGCGGCACAATTTAAGATTATCTACACGCACGCAAAACATAATCACTGAACCGATAGTAACGCCGGTTGAATCCCACCCCTGCAATTGAGGCCAAAATTCATATTGCTAAGTGAGACGTTTGTTAAGTGTCTTTTTGGCCCATTCTTACGACCTTCCTCACCACAGCTGTTAAGTGAATCATTGCAAGGGTTAAGATAGTAACACAGCTGTGAAGTGAGTGTGGTTTAGCCACTGACTTTACTTCTCAGAAAGTTGCAAAAGGCGATTCCATGATCTGCAGCCGTCATAAATATGAGTCAGTTGCCAAGACCATGGGGATGCTGCAAATGGTCAAGTGTGAAAAATGATAGTTAAGCGTGGAAAACGGTCATTAAGTGTGAAAAACGGTCATTAAGTGTGAAAAACGGTCATTAAGTGTGAAAAACGGCAGTCACTTTTTTTCCTGTGATGTTATAACGTTGAACGGTCACTAAACGACCTGTTGTAAATCAAGCCCCAGGTTTAGGAGAAACGGCTCCAAAGTAATCCGAGATTACTTTTAGACGGGCGGAAGCCGGATCTGGATTCGAATTCAAAACACCCCAGCGCCGGGACTTATGGGGGAGCCTGAGCAGCCGCCTTTTTTTTCCTCCCTTACTGTCGGGGACGCTTGTAGGCATTCTGAGGGAAACGCCTCCCAGCCAGGTCGGTCTTCGGAGGAGCGTCCGGACCTCAACCCCAGCCCGGTTCGACAGGGGGAGCGTCCCGAAGGGCAGAACGCCTCGCCCTTCCGCCCCTCCCCTCCCCTCCTTCCCCGCCCCTGCCCTCCCCTAACCCACCTCCCTGGCTTAACCCGGGTTCCCTCCCCTTGGCGAAGTCTCCGCCGACCTCTTGGAGGGGCGACGCGGCTCCGAGCACTCTCTTTCACCCACTTCTTCTTTTTTTCCCTCCCCTCCCCTCTTCCCGGGGCGTGGTGTGTGTGTGTGTTTGTAAGCCGCGCGCGGGTGTGTGTTTGTGTGTGCGTGTGTATATGTGTGGCCGTCCGCTCAATCACATGGTGTTTTAAGAAATGCTCCAAAGATGGCGGTAGCGGCGGCCGGAGGCGTCGGCCGGCTGCAGCGGAGCGGCGCGCTGGAAGTTTTGGTGCGCGACCGGTGGCACCGGGTGCTGGTGACCCTGGGCGGCGAGGCGCTGGTGCTGAGTGGCGAGGAAAGCGGAGGCGCCGCGGCTTACAACGGCATCGGGGCAGCCTCGGCGGGCAATGGAACTTTCTGCGGCAGAGGAGCCGGCGGTGGTGGGGCGTCGAGGACGGCCGCCGCCGCCGCCGCCGCTTGTCCCCTGCCCGGCGCGGCCTCGCCCGAGTCGCCGTCGGGGAGCAGCTACAACAGCAGCGGCAACAACAACGGAGGCGGCGGGAACCCCAAGGCGCCGGTCGGAGTTCGGACGGCGCTGACCGACTTGCCCGAGCAAGTGCCCGAAGCCGTCTCCAACCAGAAGCGGTGCGTCAAGGTGCTGAAGCAAGAGATGGGCGGTTTGGGCATCAGCATCAAAGGGGGCAAAGAGAACAAGATGCCCATCCTCATCAGCAAGATCTTCAAGGGCTTGGCGGCCGACCAGACCCAGGCGCTCTACGTCGGCGATGCCATCCTGACCGTCAACGGCGCGGATTTGCGCGATGCCACCCACGACGAAGCCGTGCAGGCGCTCAAGAGGGCGGGCAAGGAGGTCGTGCTGGAAGGTAAGCGCGCGTCCCCACCTACCCACCTCTCAGCTTTTTGCCCCTCCCTGCAAACGCGCTCTGCACATGCCCGGAGGCAATCCTGGTTAGCTTTGCAGAGGCCTGTGTGTGTGTGTGTTAAACGTCAGAATGGCTTCTACTCTGAACCCGGGGATGGGAAGGCGCGCGCGTGTGCCGCTTTGGATGCCGCCCGCGAGGAGGATCTGGCATTCCAAGGTTATGACGCCACGTGTTGCTGGACGCTCGCTCGTCCTGCGCTTCCAAACACTTGCGCCGCGCGGGGGTTTCCTCGTGGGAAACCGAGGCTTGTTCCAGAAAGCAGAGCCGATCTAGTTAGGTTGTGGTGGTGGTGGTGGGGATGCGTGTATGTATGCAGAGGGGTCTCTTCCTCCAGTTGTATACCAGTTTAGTAGTCCAAGAGGCTTCCCTGCTCTCAACCCCCGGGTTCTGGGGGCCGCATCGAACGATTAAAACTCAAAGCGGGCTCCTTTTTAAAAATAAAATGAAGAAAAAGGCTTGGAATGAGCTTTCCTCCTCCTAAAAACCCGCGTCGTCTGCAACCGTTCACACAACCCCGGCACAGCCGTAGTTGCCCAAGCACAGGGAGTTTTAAATTAGTTTTCGCCTTAATATTTTCCGGATGCCTTTGGAGTCGTGCCGTGGGAGAATCCGGTAACTAGTTCGAGCGTGTTAGGGTGATTATAAGCCTTTCTGGATAGTTACTTTGGGTTAATGAGGAGAGGAGCAATTTTCAAGCTATGAGTAACAAGCCCAACGAACCCAGCCGTGGTGAAAATGAAACGCCGCTTTCTCCCCCTCCCTCCCAACCTTTTACTTGCAAGTTGCTCATTATGGAAGTTACTTTAAGTTCCCTTCTTGGGCAATGGTTGAGGAGAGTTGTAGTATACTGTAACCATTTCAATCTGGATAAAACTAAGGAGAGAGGCAGCGGCAAAATGTTGTAGCCTGAGATCCGAGCTGTCCCGGATCCGTGGGCTGGCAAATCTCCTTTTTAACCTAGCGTCTTGTGCAAACTCCGGCGAGTTTATATGAGTGTTCGGTAAAATATGGTCCGTTTACTGGTTGGGGAAACAGTCCATATGTGTCAGGGTATGAATCTGTCACAGCTGAAAAAGGCAAACAGCTGGGCAAACAGCTTTTCATATGGTGTTCCTTTGGCAGGCTTAAGGGCCTCTAGCAGGTTTTTTTTTTTTTTTGTTTGCAAGCCGATCTGGAAAAACAGGATCACAGGCTTTCTGGTGATAAAAAAGACAGTTTTCCTTTTTCTAAAAAAAAAATTACCTTGAAGATAGGAAATAATTAGGGGGGGTGCTTTTGAGAAATTCCTTGCCTTTCCATCTTTTTTAGGACAGGTGAGAACTTGTGAGTTATACAGGATTAAGTAAGTAAAACAGCAGGAGCTATACAATTTCTTAAACTACTACAGTCTTACCATTTTATCCCCCCTCCCCTAATAGCTGATTAGATGAGGGCTTGCTTAAGAAGATGTGCTGATAAATCTGGTGGGCAGACTTTAAATTTAATTCTCTTCCTTTCTGATGGGAGAATTAAGCTGTATGAACGGCAAGGTGTTTCCCCTATGATTGCGCTACAGTTTTCCTATGCTTGCTGTGGCTGAATGCGTGGGAGGCGTTACTTGTGCTGGTTTGTTTGATAATGAGATTGTAGCCACTTGCTTTTCTAAGCCAGACTTTTTGCACTGTTCATGATGTAAAAGAGAGAATTCCAACAGTCGTACTTTGCAGAAGGAGTGCTAAACTAAACTAGTGCCATGGCATGAAATACTGTTTCAAGCATTATCAAACGTGGGGAGACAAGTGCAAACATTTAATCTACATGGGCTGGATGAGCCCTTGGGAAGATAGACTGTGAAAAGACCCCCAATATTGGTTTAGTGATTAAACTGTTAGTTTGGAATAAAGAAAATCTGGGTTCAAAACTACCCACAGTCACGGAATTGTGGTTGGTGATTTGGGCTAGTTACTATTTCTCAGGACAAACTATTTCACAGAATTATTTTGGGGGGAAATAGAAGGAAGCCCTATATTATCTGGAGTACCTGAAAATAAATAAAAGTGGGATATAAATCCAACAAATTAAGTGGATAAGGTCATATCATACCTAAGATTTGATGGGGGTTTTCTTTCTTCTCTGGAGTATACCAGGGGTGGGATTCTACCAGTTCGCACCCATTTGCTAAATCGGTTGTTAACATTCTAAGCAGTTTGGAGAACCGGTTGTTAGGAGAAATTACTGGCCTAATCCTGTAAGGAAGGCAGGAAGGAAACATTCTGGTGTTGCTTACAGAAACTGCCTCTCCGTTAACCCTTATTACATTCTTGGCAGGACTAGACTTCCTGTCTCAGGAACGTCTCTGGAGTTTTCCCCCCCTCCTTTGCTGGTACTTTGCTTGTGTGGAGTGACCATTCAAAGTTACAATGACACTGAAAAAAGGGACTTATGACCATTTTTCACACTTACGACTGTTGCAGCATCCCCACAGTCATGAGAGGCCAGGCGAGGAGATGCATGCCTCGATGTGAGTGATATTGAGTTGGCCACACCCAGCCAATAACATGACCACCAAGCCATGCCTACCACCTAAGCCACACCCACAGAAACGGTTGTTAAAAATTTGAATCCCACCCCTGGAGTATACCTGTTTTAGTTCCTATGTGACAATTTCCCAACTCAGGATTTAAGCCAAAAGTCATTTGAAAAGTCACTTTTGGCATAACAGTCCTACAGGTTGTTAAAATACACAAAATGCATTGTCATCTTCCAAGTAAGAACCTGTAAAATTATATCCTTCCGGTATAATATTATGGATCTCTCCTTTAAAGTACACTTAAATACATTTAGGGAGATAATCCCACATAGGTAGTAATATGTAGTGCTGAAGTAAAATCTCTTAAAAGGAGAAGGCATTCAGCCCATAGATTCTGAGATTCTGAATTGATAATGGGAAAAAAAAAAGAAAGCTTAATTAACCCAAGGAAGCACCTATCATGCCTCAGAGTCAAAGAGATTAGATTATGCAATTCTGATGTAAAAAGTTGGATGGAGGTGAGTGACAAGATTGCCAAGGAAAACAATCATGCTATTTAAGCTGCAGAAGTCTATGCATTAGACAAAGGTTAGTTCTAGAACACTGACTGAGGCCTAGTTCTGAGGAAATTGTGGTTTTGTCTGTCACACACAGCTTGGTGCCTTCTGGGTGTGCTGTCTTTTAAGTTCCATAATTCCCAGCCAGAATGCATTGCATAAGATTGCTGCAAAAAAAAAAATGGTCTAGTCTATCACAACAGACTTTGGTGGAAATAATCAAAAGGATAGCCCCCCCCCCCCCCAATTTGAGGACTGTAAACCATTTTTAAAAGATTTTGAATTTTTTTGGGGGGGAGTTAAAACAATCACTTGAAAATATTCTCAAGGCAAATTACAAGTGCAGGCCTTTAGAAAATTCAAAATTGTAAAACTAAACGTCCATGCTATGCTCCAAGTCCTAGAGGACAAAAATGCCCTCAATCATGACTTGTTTGCACACACAAGTTCATTGTAACCTTTAGATCTTGACCTCCAAGTTGTTGGCATAAGTGAAGAAAGCTAACAATACACCACAATTTTTAATCACTCCTTTTCATAAAGGATTTGTTCAAATACATGCCTCTGCTTTATCTTTCATACTTTCACAACTTAAAAGCAAGTATGTTACTGGAACAGAAAAATGTTCCCAAAAGTTACAAGGACACCTTTTTTTTTTCTTTGCCTGGCTATTATTACGAAATAAGTTTGTGTATTGCTTCTCTTAAGAAGTGATATAGAACACAAAGTCAAATGTCAACACTACAAAAATATCAAACATATAATTTATAAAAGTAACAAAGAAGTGTTGACAGGGTTTTCATCCATTATGAGTCCAAATTACATAACACATACCAACACGGTCCTTATGCTGGTAATTGACTAAAATAAAGTTTGACTGTGGCAATGTTCCTGCAGGGAGAATGTTGAACCAACCGGTTGAGTTTGAAAAAGGAGTTTGCAAACTTTTAAGTTTCCCTGATTTCTCTTGGACTGGGTGACTTAAAGGAGACAAATAGTGACTACAAGTAATCCTTGACCAACACCACTATTGAGCCCAAAATTTATATTGCTAAACAGGGCAGTTAAGTGAATTTTCCCCATTTTATGACCTTTCTTGCCACAGTTAAATGAATCACTGCAGTCATTAAGTTAATAATGGCTGTTAAATGATTCTGGCTGCCCCATTGCTGGTCAGAAGTTTGCAAAAGGTGAAGACATGAACCCAGGACACTTCAACCATTGTAAGGACATGCCAATTGCCGAATTTTGATCACATGACCACAGAGATGCTGCAATGGTCATAAGTATGAAAAACAGTCATAAATCATTTTTTTCAGTGCCATTGCCAATTTGAACAGTCATTAAACAAATGGCTGTTAAGTTGCAGACTGCCTGTCTTGTCTACAAAGTTAATCCTTTCTCAAAATTTAAATAATCTTGGGAATGACATTGTATTATGTTGGGTGCTACTTCATCAAAGAAATAAATTGCTGTCCCTATTATTGTTTCTACTTAAACAGACGTTTGATATGCAGAAATCTGCAGACAACATAAGTCAGAGAAGAACCTGTTCGCCTGTACAGACCTGGTAGGAGATACAGAGCACACAGAGATTAAGAAGCTGTCAATCCCGATGCTACTTAACATAAAAAGAGCTGAGGAGCCAACCCTCCTACTGCAATGCATTTATTTGACAACTAGGGGGATACCTGTGTTTCGCTATGAAACTATGTGATCGGACTTAGTTTTTGGGGAGGAAAATAAGGAAAAGAAAATTCTGCCTCTGCCTACCAGCATCCATCAGTATTCATCTGGCTAGCATCCTGTCAGTGTGTAAGAGAGTTGAGGGCTGTTTGGAAACTGAAACAGTATTTGCTGTGTGAGCAAGAAAG